GGGGAGTGGTGGCCTATTGGTTAGAGCATTACTGCATTACTTCAAACCTAACAGGGTGCACCTCTGGGTCCCTGAGCAAGACCATTAGCTCTGACCTCTGAGTTTATAACAGAAATAAGATCTGATCAAAAAAACTGTTTATCATTTAAGTAATAGTAATATAAGTCTTTCTATAAACATTCTGTTACTGGTGTTTATTTTCCACCTTGAAGCAAACTTTTTACACTTTTAAAAGCTTCGTCCAAATAACATTTTCCAGCTGTTTGCCATTTTGACCTGCATATAACTAAAGTTTAAAAGGTGTATAAATATATTTGTTTAACCTGTATGAATGACTAATGTATGTTATCACTTTTTTCCGTTATTTTGTTGCTGGGTGTTAGCAGAGAAAATGTTTTACCATTTGCTTTATGTCCTCCAGCACGGTGAGGCATCATATTTAGTGCAAATTTATTCACCTCATCTCACTTCTTATAAATGTAATCATTGGTTTACATGCTCACCAATGAATAAGCTGCAAATTCCTGCTTTTTTAGAAACACTGGAGGAAAAAAAGAATTAAAATCTAGACAAATGTTAATATTTTGGGGTTGTTTTATTGCAGCTTGCAGACTTTGACTTTTTACAGCAGGCAAATTCCAGCTCAGACATCTGGAGCGATGCTTACCGTGCGGACTGACTTGTTCTTACTGCTGACAAAACAACAACCATGCTGTTCACAAAGAGCCACCATTTATACCGCCTATTAGGTCTATAAATGGAATAGATATTGAGTTTGTAGAATACACTTTGGAAATAAATCTTTGGAAATAGTTAATATTTCTCTGGTGCTCCTTGTAAACACTTTTTGTCTGCAACCTTCTTACCATTTGGTAATGTGCAGTACTTTGCATGAACACCTATAAGCCAGCCCAATGTACACGCTGGGCACGAACTGTTAATGTAACAAAATCTAAACAGTTCACACACCTAGTCCCTCTCCACATTGGTATACTTTCATTTTCAAATCCATCCTCTGCCTTCTGCCTCACTCTTTACATTTTAAGATATCATAAAGACAGTGCAGTTTGCCTTTAAAGCCAGGATTTGATTTATTTCAGCTTCTATTTCTCATTCTTTCCATAGAAAAATGTCTCCTATTCTGCTCCATCTTCCTGAAACACACTGCAGAAGGAACCGAGATTGTACAACAGGAACCTTCTAGAACAATTGAGGAGCATTTAAAGGAGAATGGCAAAATCATAATTTCAAACCAGTTCTATTTTTTGGGCTTTCCTTTCAACTAAAAGCCAAAATAAGTTTTTATTATTGTTTTTCTATGTAACTGTGTCAGATATGCTATAAACGGGACCTCCCGTTTAAAAGAGAAAACCCACATGTTTTTACCATTAGTGTTTAAACTGGAACCATTCAGATTTCATCCCTATCTTCACCAACCACATGCAGACATAATGAAAGAGCAGCCTTTGTGTGATGGGATTTCTCTAAGTTTTGATCTGAAAAGGCTTCTGTTCTTTTAAACAGACCGATTCCTCGTGTTTTCACTCCACACTTCGCTCATTGCATAAAGGCATGTTGTGCAGAGAAACAAAGGGTCTCAAAGGAGAGCACCAAAACTAAAAACGCTGCAGTCTCATGGATTCATGGTTATTTTGATGCACAAATACATGAAGGTTCCACAGGTCTCTAACTGTGCTGGCATTTTAATCCCATAAGACATTCAATATGATCTGAAGTCGATTTTTTTAAAGACTGTTTCAATAAAGAATAAAAACGTCCACTCTTGCCATTTCTCTAATTCACGAGAGCCTCTAAGAAAACCTGTCATCACTTCCCTTGCAAAGTTATCATGTACAGTAACCACATTAAATCCCTTTTCCTGTATTAGGTCCTCTATATATACCGTTCTAACATACATGTGTACATTTTTACTCATCTAGATCATGGCGACCACTGGTCTCCCTAATGCCACAATAAGCAAGAGAGCTTTTTATTTACTTCCAGGACCCGAATGTTTACATTTTGGACAGTTGGTTTGAAATGGGTGTGAAGGAAGCCATTTATGTTAAGAAAGAAAAACCGACCAGCGAAGGGGGTGGATTTAGGTTTCAGCTCTCATAAACCTACCATGTAGCAATAAAGTTGATTCCTTCTTACTATCAGTTCAAACCCCCACTCATATCATAGGGGACAAAACATCTTGCCTGGGCAGCCAAGCCAACAATTGCTCCTAATGACCCCTCTTTCAGAAGCATAGTCCAGTATCTGGTATTGTAGGCAAACAAAATTCCTAAGGAGTGGACCCATTCTTCTCGTTCAATTTGCATGTTTTCTAAGCCAAAACAAGTTTTTAGGCCGCTATATAAAGCTTCGAACTCAATGCTAATTCTGACATTTTGATTTGAAAAAGCTTCATGGATGGGAAGTGAAACGTCTTTAAACTGGGATACCAGGTCCAGTCGATTGTCCAGAAAATTTTTGTTTACCACTTAGTATTTCTTCTGACATTTATCTAGGTTGGACTTCTTTTAAACATTTTGGTTATTCTTCCACAATAGTTTGCAGGAACTTCGGCCCAGTTATGACAGAAGTCCCTTAAGTGGGTCAGCTGCACCCACAGATATTTTAAAGGACTAAGGTCAGGTCTTTGAGATGGCTGCTCCAAAATGTTGTCTTTGTTTGACTGAAACCACTTCGTGACTCATCTAGTGATATGCATTATGCTTTTCAAAGACTCATTTGTTCTCAAATTGAACCTCCTGGGCCGTCCCTCCTGAAGTAAAATATTCCTACCGCATGATGCCGTCATCCCCATACTTCAAAGCTTGGATGGTATTCCCAGGTTTACCAACATATCCCTCCAAATGTAGTGATCCCCATTTATTCCATCTTCTCATCTAACTACAGCAGAAGTTAAGGTCTTCGTCTCTGAGTGCATTTCAGCCCCGGGTTTAATGGCTTCTTCCTCTCAGAATGGTGTTTCAGCCCACTGTAGATGAGGACATTTTCTTACCATGTGAGCCAGCATTTTCATAAAGGCCTTTAGTATTTATTCCGGACATGATGCACATTTCACAGGCATACTCCTGTGTGTATAATTGTTCAAAAAGATAAAAACAGCAAATTTAGACATCTGGAAATTGTATCAATATACAGTATCTATATATTTTCCCTAATGGTTGATTTTTTAAATTCCTGTAATAACATTAGATCCATTTACGGGGTCAAAATATATATTGACTGCTGTGCCTCTGTTAAAATCAACGGCCTAAACTGACTATCAACATCTAAATTTTGATTAGTAATTAATTAGGAATTTGGTAATAATTTTGGTGTTCCTGAGGGAAACAAAATAGGAAACATTTAGTCTGATTTTGTTTGTTTTTAGACAATGTATCTAGTTGAAACATCATGTATTAAAAGCAAAACTTTAACATCAATTGAAATTTAAATGCAGAAATGTCAGCCTACCAAAGGCCGTAGGAACTAGACAGCCAGATACATTAGCTGGCTGATATTTTGGGTCAATAATAGCTGTTTTATCGGCTTATATGTGCTTCTATCTGCAGATGCATCAGTGCATTTAGCTGCCATGTTGTGAGATCACATGATACGCGTGTATTTCTCCGTCCGTTTGCTATCCACTGTAAATATGCTGCGTTGGATTTGTTAATGTTGCTTTTAGTTTGAACAGTGACTTATGTAACATTTACAACCAATGTAATTTTTCATGTAAATGGTGGAAATAAACAGCTATTTACACCCTCTTCCCAAAAAATTATTAACACATGACAGTTAATGGACTGATGTTAAATAAACAGTATCTGCATCAAACTTAATGAAAGGTAAATCAGGCTTTATACACGAAGGAGGAACTCTAATTTAATGCTTTTTAATGCTCTTAGAAATAATTTCAATGCCATCAATAAGTACGCATTACTCTCATATATAGGATCAACCAGGAGCAGTTCCATGCAAACATGTGGAACCAGTTAAATCTGATATATTTGACAATTCTGACAATTTGACTTTTTTTTTTTTAACAAAGCATTTTAAATGCAATGATAATCACATTTAAAGAATTTTAATGCCAATTAAGGCCTTAATTTAAAAAAATAATAATCTAATGACTTAATGACCCGCAGAAACCCTGTAAATTACTTTAATAAAAAAAAGACAATTAACTATTTATTGTAATAATTTTAAAAGTATGTTTATTAATGGTACATTTAGTTAGCTTTAAATTTTGGAATTTAATGGTACATTTGTATAATGCTGCATTTAATAAATTGTAAATTTAAATAGACTTAATTTTACAAAAAAATAAATTATGATGCATTTGTTTCATGTTTTATTTAATGCAGCACTTATCCAATTATGTATTGATTAATTATTCCATGATACATTTTATATATATATATTTCTTATCCTTACTTTGGTTATTGATTATTTTTGCTATTTTATTACATCTGTGTGTATCCTCAGTCAATATTTTGTGTCCTAAGCCAACTCTGGTACCCTGTTACAAAAAAATAAATAAATAAAGTTAGAACTGTAAATTTGTCATATGTTTATATTACTGTTTTTATATAATTATTTTTTTTTAAACTATTTTTCAAGGCTGCACTTAAAAAAAAAAAGATGAAATTGTCCAGAAAGCTGTTCCAACTGAAATTTCTTTTTAAATGTTTAAATCTATGTTGTTTTAGAAGCTGGAAAGTTTATCAATCTCTGACTTACTCTCTAACTTGTGTTAAAAACTGTTTCTATTGGTCTTATAAAACACACTGATTTTCTGAGAAAATCAGATTTGGGGGTTTTATTAGTCATAATCCAATTTTTAAAACTTTAAAATATAACACTCTGTTGAAAACAAACCTATAAAACACACTTTTTGATTCATGAGATTCACCAATAGGAAATAGAAAGAAACAAGAAAAAAAAGTTTTCCCAAAGGTCAGCTGCTTCAGACTGATATAAAACAAATAATCAGACGGCACTTGTGTCTCATTTAAAGATAATACTTTATCTGTGTCCACAAAATCTTAAGTTCCAGCATGTTTATTTTCAAATAGTTACAGTTTATCTTTGAGAAAAAAAGAAACAAAAAACAATGACAGCTGGGGGGGAATTTAAGGCTCTGTTAAATTCTCTGCTTAAAAATAACAAGAAAAAAATATCCTGAAAACTCACAATAAAAGCAGAGTCTAGTATAAAATGAAGCTTAGAATTGGCTACCCATGTCATGTTTTAATAAATATGTTACTGTAATAAAAAGAAAAGTACAAAAGTTAAAAGTAGATGAGCTGTGCCAGAACTTTCACCGGACCACACGGCGGCGGGGATTTACATGTCAGGAATTTAAAGCGACGCGCGTTTCTCGTCTCGGGAGTGTTGGCAGACTTTGGTCGTTCCGAAAACCTGAAAGGAGGTTTAAAACGAAAAAATAAAGTAGAAACGGAAGACCTGCGTCTTTTAGAGACTTCGGGCTAGAAGCAGAAACATAATGGCTCATTGAGACATGTTCACTTTGGAGCAGGGCTGTTTTTTTTAGTTACTTCAGGTCACAGAGATGACGATACTGAACTGTCCCTAAAGTAAATATTACCAGTGTGTCCATTTTCAAAAAGGTCTATAAGACTACAAAGACATACCTTGATGAGGTTTAGAAAAAACACTCAGGCTGAAAGTTTTAAAAGACGATGATCCGCACGCCCGAGCAGCACACTGGTTTAAGTATGCATGCTTAAAAAAAGAAAGAAAATCTAAATGTTCCATTATAATGAAATACTTTATCAAATCCCAAATTTTAGACATGACACAAGTAATATTAAAGAATATAATAGTGATTAAAGCAGCCTTAAAAAGATGCTGCAACCTCACAAAACACTTCTGCTTAGTATGTAAGGAAAACCTCCATCTATAAGGACAAAAGTAAAATATTAAAAATAATAAGACAGGAATTCACAGAGGGCTGCTCTGCCGAGCCAGTTCGTATGACTGCTTTCAGGTTCGTTGAGAAGGCCGTAGAGGTTGCAGCAGAAGCATCGTCCAACACTTATCAAAAATAGGTCTCTCCCGTCTCTGGGACAGAGCGGTTACCTGATGCGGTAAGTTTCTTTTTCACAACGTCAGGTTATCCTCGGGGGCTTTAAAACGCCTGCAGGGATCGAAAAATATGATTTCTGGTTAAAATAAATAAAAGCAGAATAAATGAAATGATAGCAGCAGATGCAACAGGTTTAAAGAGGGGCTTGTGGGGCAGCTGGAAATAGAAACTACAATGAACTTCCTGTTTTGAACTCTCAGGATGTGATGCTTTCCTCTTGCTGCCTTCTCCTTCATTGCTCTCTGCTCTTTTCCTCCCTGCTCAAATAAGCTGTGTCCTCATTTCAAAATACATTCAGCAGTCTTATCATAACAAGCCCAACCAACGGTCTGCAGCACCACCCACTCCCCTCTCTCTCTGCTTCCAACCAAGCCTCTCCATGCTCTCACACTACATTTGTGCAAGCTGCGTGTCATTTTTTCCCCTCAGCCCGTGAAGTGCTTTACACAGGCACTGCAGGAACATTTTAACACTTTCTGTCAAAAAAGAAAAAAAAAAGAAATCAGTGAGGAGCCAACTGTGTTGTACTGGACGCCTCCTCCCCCCTACCTCTTCCTCACTGCACCACGCAGGCTGTGCAGCACTGCTCCTGCTTCTCCGGCAGCGTGGAGTAGTTCATCTGTCGGACGATCTCTGCGAAAAGCTCGTCCACCATCGTCTTGCTCTTGGCGGATGTCTCGATGAAAGGGCAGCCCCACTCCTGAGCCAGGGCTCGCCCGTCTGAGCCGGCGACCTCGCGCTCCGACTCCAGGTCCACCTTGTTGCCGACCAGGATCAACGGCACCTTCTCGAAGCGCTTCACTCGCACTATTTGGTCTCGCATCGGTCTGATATCCTGGAAGACAGGGCATGGTTAGGAATAGAGCATATATCCTAAAATTATAAATACGACTCGTTTGCTCCACCATTATCAATTATCACCTTACACCAGTACTCCATCTGTTTTAAGAGGAAGTTAAGCTTATCTTATACAGCATTTCACCGATTTCAAAAAGCGCCTTACAAGAAATACTTGAGTACATTAGTCATGCACACTAAGGAATGTGCTATCATTTATGTAATCGTTTCACAAATACGCATCTTGAAAACATTCAAATAACAAAGCCACCTCTCCAGAATACTTCATTACACTCCATTCATATCCCATTCACTGGGATGGATAAATATGAGCAGACAGGGATATAAAAGGGCTGGGAATGAGAGAGATTAGGGTGGTAGGCATAAGGACTAGAAGGAATGAGGAAGTCTGGATGGGGATGAACGGGTGTGGATAAAGAAAACAAAGCATGTAGATTATTCAGTACTGTTATTTTTGATCTATGTATAGATCAACCACAGGATGTGCTGTGAGGCACTTTGAGTTTCTTAAGAGCTCAATAAATGGATTGTAGAATTGAAAAAAAAAAAATAAAATAGACAAACCTTTAATGACTTTATTTACTGCAGGATTCTAAACTATGACATCAATCAGACAACCTGCAACACATTTTTCTTCCATTTGTCACAATCCAAAGTAGAGATGAACCAAATATACAACCAGACCTATATTTTTTTTCTGTTGCATCAGCATTGCAGATCAACCAACACAATCAGTCTAACCTAATGCAGATTTTTGATGATTTTTTTGGATTCTTTAGGCTGATATTACATTTCCGAAGAATGAAGAAAGCAAATAAAATACAGCAGATGAAGGGGGCAGCAAGAGGTGATTATGAATATCAAGGCAAGGCTGCTAATTCGTGGTAATGAATAGGTTAGCGCAAAAAAATATCTATCTGGCCAATGTATCCGCCTATCTCTAATAGAATCGGTTGATTAATCGCTAAAACCGATTGATTTTTTTTTTTTTTTTTGTGGTTTCATTTTTGGAAAAGCTGGATTTATTTATTCTAATAGTCTCCTTGTCCTTACATAGCTTAGAGCGACATCGGTTCATCACTTTTTGTTCTTGGATGTGTACTTATCGCTGATAAACCTGCTAAATGTGTAATACCACCAGCCGCTAACATTTAGTTTATTGTATTTGCATTGTTTGTTGTGAACCATGATTATTTTACAAACATATTTCTCAGTTTGTCATTTAAATTAAGGTCACCTCAAAGAGGGGATGATTGAGACAAAGCTGGGGGTTTTTTCAAGGAAGTACAGGGCATTTGCTATTTCTAATTATGAATTTAAGTGAGAAAAAACAAAATGAAAACAAAAAACGCTTAACTGGACTCTGTAGGAAAATATATAAAAAGGAGGTTAGCCAAAGCAACCATTCCTTGAGATCCTGTAAAGTGCACAGTTTGCCGCCGCCTCCATTTGCTGTCATTTCTAAACATGTTTTGTTTTATTTGTAAATAAATGTTTTGTTTTTTTTTTAAATGAGAAATTTGTAATTCTTTCTCCTTAATTTGGTTATTTTATCATGTAAATAGAAGGGGGGAAAAAAGCAGATACTAAGGCTCTGTTTAGTTACTGTCAAAATGATGGGGATCGCATTTGGATATAAAATATATATTGGTTGAGTTCTATCGCAAAGGACAAAGAATGGTAATTGCCCAATATTTAAAACATCAGATATTTAGCTTTATTATTGTTTTTCCTAACTTCCTACATGACTCAGAATGTGACCTGAAGGCAAACGACATGTCAGATTTTGAGTTCAGAAGCGTCTCTGTCATCAGAGCTATTTGCATTCAGAAACCAAGTAGAGTGTAACCATTACTCCGAGGCTGATTTCTTTAGGATTAGTTCAGCACGTTGGAGAAGGTTGGTACAAAATGCCAATATTAAAAGGAAAGAAGAAGAAGGTGTGAGCACATGGACCAGCTCCTGGTTAAAGCTCCTGGATCAGATAACAACAGCTTTAATCGTCTTGGTAAAAAAAGATCCTAAAAACTAAAACTTTTTAAAAATGACTTAGCTTTTTTGTACAATCAATAAGTACCATAATCATTTCTTTGCTTAGTAACTTCTATTGCCCTAAACATAAATACTCTATAAGAGTGATAGACTACAGCTTTCTGATAAAAGTTTTATCTTTTGATAAGTTTTACACATTAATCACACTGAATATAAATATGTTTAAAAGTATGCTAAAACGAAGAGCTGTAAAATTAGACACATTTACTGGGGGGAAGCCAAGATGCATTTTTTAAATATGACAGAAATTAATTCAGGACATTCAATTTACATTTTTATTCTACACAATCCTCCACGTATTACACTAATTTTTCACAGATAAGACAAAGGTGCTGGTGAAAAAACAAAAGAAAAGTTTGGAAACAAGGTCCAGTGGATTGTTTTTAATTTTCTCTTTCTTTTTCTTTTTTTTTTTTGGAATGACTAATACCTGGATGACATATTTCACTCCATTTTGGGAAATACATCCCTGGAATAATATGCCAGTATGAGAAATAATTCAAAAAGCTTCCTGGATGGGAAGCGAAACGTCTTCAAACTTGGAAACAAAATCCAGTGGATTGTTTTTAATTTTCTTTTTTTTTTTTTTTTTTTGTTAGGCCAAGGTTAACCCATTCGGGCTTATTTCCAAGGGGTTTTAAAAAAATAAAATAAATCTGCAAGTATGCACTCACATATATTAGTGGCTTATCCAAATCATCATGAAAATGTATTGATTGATCAGTTAAATTACTATAATAATATTAATACAGTGTTTCTGACGTCATGTTTTTTTTTATCAGTATTTGTGGGGTTTTTGCACTGCGCAGCAAATAGACCTGTAACTAAAAATGTAGATTGTTATTAATCTCCTTTGCAATGAATATAAAAAAAGTTTCAGTTGGGAAAAGTTTAAAATCCACATCCTCATTCCCTAATCTGGATAAACTAATTTGTAACAGGTTAACATCGGGACAAAAAATAAAATAAAATCAGAATAACCTGAGTGTGCATTAAAGAAATATCAGTAATTGGTATTGGCCAGAGAAGATATGTGCATGGATGAAACTCTTGTGATTCATTATATTTAGGCAGGGGCTCATTCAGGCTTAAAAAAAAACAACAACTTTGTTTTATATTTTGCACATTTAACCCCACAATTCCCAATAATGGCGCCTGCAAATGTTTAATATGACGGTGAGTGTTGAGAAGCAGCACAGATGGGCTGTAGGTACCTGAAAGGACTGCTGGTTGACCAGGCTGTAGACCAGGATGAAACCCTGGCCGTTTTTAATGTACAGGTCTCTCATGGAGGCGAACTGCTCCGTCCCCGCCGTGTCCAAGATCTCCAGCACGGAGGGCGACGAGTCCACCTCGATCTCCTTCCGGTAGAAGTCCTCGATGGTCGGGTCGTACTTCTCGATGAAGGTGCCGGTGACAAACTGCACGGTGAGCGCGGACTTCCCGACGCCGCCGCTGCCCAGCACGACAACTTTGTATTCTTTCATTGGGGCGGTGGAGGCTGGCTAACGGCGCAGCTATACTCGCTCCATAAACACCGAGCAGGCCTGAAGGAAACGCGGACAAGTAAAGCGGAATAAAAACAAACCCCGTAACTTACAGAAACCCCGCTCCGATAGTCATATTTTGTGTTTTTTTCTGTCTCTCTTTCTCTGGGCCTGCGCGCGACTCAAAGTTGATGTCGGTTAACTCCGATGTTAGCTCACGGTGAAGCTAGCTCCTGTCTGGCTGACTTCCAGCTGAGCCATCCCGGAGCTTCACAGCCGATCCGACGCACCGCAGGTCGGCCTGGACTTCCTGGAGAACCCGCCGCCTACCTACAGACAGCGAGTCACGGTGATCCACATTTAACCTCCTCTAACCACGGCATGCCACTTTGCTCACCCACACATCAGCCCTCCGCTATAGCAGAGCCGCTTATGTCCGGGGCCTGGTTCTGGTTCCGGACCGGCCCGCCGAATGGGCAGCCGCGCCTCCTACAAATTATACAGTTTTCCAACGGTCCATCGGCGACAAATTCGTAGCTTGTTCGGTCTTTGTTAGACTCAGAGTGGAGCAGTTTTACCAGCAGGAGGAAAATCTTTTTCCTCCAACTGGTTTCTTGACGCCAACAGTGTACTTCCGCATCGAGGCAGCCTTTCACAATAAAAGCCTCTGCAGGGCTCAGTACTTTTTTTTTTTTACGGAAGTTGGAGCTCAGATTTGGGAATGACGTCACTGATGGGATATTTTCAATGCAGTTTATTTCTATAGCGCCAATTCACAACATATCCCTTAGCAAAAAATAGTTTATTTAAGTATACTAAAAGTGCACTAATTTCATACTTAAAATCAGCCAGTGCACTTAAGAATTTACTTATTCTAAACTAGAAAGATGGAGCTCTGACAGAGAGACCATGGAGTTCTGGTGACCAATGCCATCCTACCCTAATCGCTCACTTTAGATGGCTTGCTAGTTCCAAGTAGGATCCTAATGGTTCTAAACTTTTTCGATTTACAAACAATACAGTGCACTACACTCATTCAGACCTCAAAAGCAACAGAACATTTTATATATCCTCCTGATTTGTCTCTGCCTCAGAGGTCTACAGATAATTCTCTTGACTTATACTTGGCCCTCCATTTAAAGGCATTGCAGAGGATTTTCTAAAATTTTTTTAAAAGACCCGCCCTCTCCACTTAAAAAAATATGCACGTGCACCCTGTACAAGCTCCTGTGGGAGAGCACCTAATAAATGCCTTTTAAATGTGTTTAATTGCAGATTTTCGCACCCATTAACCACTCTTGATTTTTCAAATTCTTTTAGGGTTTTAGAAACTCTTAAGGCTTTTGAATAACAGTCATCAAGGTTCACCATTACTAATAAGTTTAATGTTTCATGCATTTTATCTTTACTTGCTTTTGTTTTCCTTCTATTTTATTGGTTAATTCATGTACAGCTGTAATTGTCTTTATATTGAATATTGCTATACAAATAAACTTGCCCTGTATTGCTTTAACCCTTGGAAACAAATCTGGCTCATTACAAATACAGGTAAATCAAAGATGGCTAAAATGTTGATACAGTAATGTAAAAATCAGATAATACGCATGTAGAGCAAACAGTTTACGATTGAAAACCAAAAACTCAGACAGGATTACCATGTGTCGTTTTATTTAAGGTCAAACAGAAACAGCAGAACTGATTATAGGCACATATTAACTCTTAATACCTATACAGTGCAAATTAATTTGCGTGGAGCACAGTAGCACATACAAGTACCACAAGCAGAAAGCTGAATGAAATGATCGATGATTTAGGAGCAGCAGTTCGTCCCTCCTAAAGCGTCCGAGAATGATTTTCTTATGGCTTAGTCCTCAACAGCTTTAGGCCTTTTTCATCTCAGATAGGCCGACACTCAGTCTGTGATTGCTGCACTCAACTTATACTAAGATGCAATGACACACGAGACAAACGACTTAAAATTACTCATACACACATTCAATTTACCTTTGTGAATTAAACATAAAAATTACTCTTTGTACGATGAAGGCACATTAACAGCGGAGGATATGGTGACAGACAATACATGAACTTGAAAACTATTCAACTCTAAGTGTAAGAGAAAAAAAAAAAAAGGCCCAGTATTGTGAGATCGAGGTTATTAAAGGAACCACAGAGTCACAATAATGAAGCTTTAAGGGAGTTTAAGTATACTTTAATCATAAGAGATCTATTTGAACACCAAACAGTCATAGAGCTGTGAATCAGTTCAGGTGGACAGTTAATCCAGAACATGGCCTGGGGCCATGGCAGCAGAATTTCTGGCTTTACTAGCAAAAAAACACACAAAAAACAACTACTAAACAAACAAAAAACCCTTGACATGTTATTTTCTGAAGAAAAAAAAAAAGTTTCTGTAAAAATAAAATCAGCAGTAAAATTGCAGAAAATAATGTTAGATTTAAACCCTTTAAGCACATCTGTTGTGCATTATCTTCAAGTCTGATTTTAAATCTTCTGACCTGCTTTTCTTTCTTGTTATTTTTAGCCTACAGGAGGTAAAGTAACATGTACTCAATAATGACATTAATTCAAGAGCAAAGGTAGCATTAATTTCCTTAAGTTATTGCAGATTTTGTAGTAATCCACCTCTTCTTTTCAGTATAAATGGGTCTGAAATTTTTTGAGAGCAAATCAATATAGTATAGAGTGCATGTCATCACTAACACACAAACAAACAGATACCTCAAATATTTTCACGCTGCAATAAACAATAAACACACCATTAACAATACACTGATTATTTTTAGTCATCTGTTTTATCTGTATTATTCAAAATAAATTTGGAGTATTTATGTACATAAGTGCAAACAAGGTGAATATCAGACATTCTTGTATATTTTAGCCAGGAGAGACATCACCCAGCACAGCTGGGCATCAAAAGACTTCAGGACTGAAAAGTCAGCTCACCAACAAAAGCTCTGCAGTGCAAAGACAGTTTGGTCTACAGGAGGTGAATTAGCTTGACTCTAAAGTTTGTCCAAAAAGCCTTTTAACCTCCCTGACAAATAAGTGTTTGCTTTTAAAGTACTTTTTTTTCTGAAAAAAAAAAAAAAAAATAAACAAGAAGACAAAATTTTTTTTTCCAACAAAACCAAACAAAATAAAAACAGTTTGGAAATCACAAGGATTAACCTCTCCATATAATATATTTAAACACGACACAAGCTCATCTGACTTTCCTTTTTTTTCCAAACAAAACAGGTTTATGAGAATAAAAAAAAAAGTATGATAATAGGAAGGTAGCCATGTTGTTAATTTGTTGCCAGTGATTTTTGATTTATTTTATTCTTCAGTTTGGTAGAGTCTAGCTATGTTATGTGAATTCATATCTAAACTATTTTTATATCTTGTTTTGTTTGTGTAAAAAAGAAATAAAAGAGAATTATTAGGCATGG